TGGGGGATATCCAGGAGAAGGAAAGCCATGGGGAGGATATCCGGGAGGAGGATAGCCTGGGGGAGGATATCCGGGAGGAGGATAAGGATAACCTTGAGGAGGATAACCATGAGGAGGATATCCAGGAGGTGGAGAACCTTGAGGAGGATAGCCTGGAGGAGGATACCCACGATGTGGAGAATGTCCTTGTCCTTGTCCTTGTGGGGAATACACGTCCCTCGATTGTTCTTTTCCTTGTAGTTGTGGGGGATAAACATCCCTTGATTGTTCTTGTCCTTGTCCTTGCAGGGGATAAATGCCCCTCGATTGTTCTTCTCCTTGTGCTTGTGGGGAATAAATATCCCTCGATTGTTCTTGGCCTTGCCCTTGTCCTTGAGGGGGATAAATGTCCCTCGATTGTTCTTCTCCTTGTCCTTGTCCTCGTGTGGGATAAACATTGCTTGATTGTTCTTGTGGGGGATAAATGTCGCTTGATTTTTCTTGCGGGGGATAAACGTCCCTTGATTGTTCTTGTCTTTGTCCTTGTCCTTGCAGGGGATAAACATCACGTGATTGTTCTTGTTCTTGTCCTTGTCCTGGCGGTGGATAAACGTCCCCTAAATTTCCTTGTGGGGGATATGCAGGTGGCAAATGAGCGTCTTTGGAATGTCCTTCAGGTGGTGGTGGTGGTGGCGGCGGCGGATAAATGTTGTTGGGATATCCGTCATTTTGTGGTGGATAACCTAATTCATTATTTGCAAAAACCAAATTAAACCATACCCTATATAACAAAAAAAAAATTTATAAAAAAACCTATGATTTGAAAATTCCAAGATTATATATCCAACAAATATATTCATACAAATTCAAGAGAAACCATAAGGGACAAACAAGGAAAGAGGTTTAAAAAAAACATAATTAACCTTGAGGAGGAACATCATTGGGAGGCTGCTGTTGAGGAGGAGGCTGGTGGTGGCTGTGATCACTCATTCTTGGTGTTCTTGATTGATTGCTAAGTCAAAAATATGTTTAATCTTTCTTGGTTACAATGCAAAAAGCTAGGATCTAGTTTTTGTATTTATTAGGGCAAGGAACCAAGGGAGATTTGTCTCCACCAGTATCCAAAATCTAGGGAGGTTTGTTGATTTAAACTGGCCTGCAGTAAATAGCGGCTAACAAGCTATCTGTTTTTGTTTGACACATCGGATTTTGTTTAGTGAGAAAGATGGTTTGTTTGTTTTTTCTTCGGTACAAAGCAGGAGGAAAACTTCAACTGTTCTGTGTGGAGTAGCTGCTAACCGCCACCGGAAATAGTGTTGCATTTGAATCAGTAATTCATAACATGTGTAAAATTTGGAACATCGTCTAGAATACATTTTTTTTAATCAATGAAGAATATGAAGATTCGAACTTGAGACATATTTCATCATTAGAAAGAAGTATCATTCGATTAAGAACTAGTTGTCATGCTTTCAGAACAAAGGATGAAATTTCACTTGCAAGGTAATTCAAAAGTGATTTCCCGAGTATCAAAATTATCACCTCAAGGGAATGCTTGAATAACTACCACCACTCAACAACATAATTAAAATGTTCTACCTTGAACAAAAGCTATAAATAGCGTGAAAACTTGTAATTTCAATGGTTGAAAGCATTTATTCTTACTTTCCCGTCCCATAGAGGTTATATGTCCCAAATAAAAGTTACTCCGTAGCACAACAAAATTGTAATTTTGTAAGTTACTGATGCCCAAATAAAACAAACAATAAAAAACTTTTGGAAATTTCATTGAGTCACTTGATCTAGCCTTATAAGAACAACCATTGCAAAGTCCTAAATCAATCTCAATCAAAACAAGTTGACACATTCAACGTAGCCATATGCTTCAATCAATCAACGATTGAATCCGTCTTCTTTTCTCTCTTAATTTTTTCTCAAACACGCACATACAGACGTGGACACAGCTTGTAGCATGCAAGAATAATTAAACAGAATGTGATGTTCTATTTTGAGAAACTTTGATTCATAGTATAAGAATCTGTTGATAAGTTTTCAAATAATTTGATTGAGAACAAGTCTTCCAATTTATTTGAGACACATTAAGTTATAGAGTTGAAAAAATCGCTAAATATAGCATCACGATACATGTTTCAAAGTCGGAAGGGGAGTATCACTAGACTAAGAGATTTTTACTTTCATACCTAATTATTTGAGAATAAATTGTTGTAAGAGAAAGATTAACTTGATTTAAAATAGATTTTTTATATTAAAAAAAATAGAGAGAAAAGAATAGATTAACCAGACTAAAGAGACTATTCTCATTTTCTGAACAAATCAACACGGTTTCTTTGCTCGAAAGGAAAGGAATATCCTTTTGCATTGGTCATTCAATCATTTTCAGGGCTTTTATTTTATTTTTCACAATTGTTTTATTTTATTTTCTACATACTTAAGTATATATTATGTGTGCTTAATCTTCGGCTAAGGCCTAGGTAATTCAAGCCCCACAGACGAAGCTACAAATTATACTTTCTATTCGAATTTGGTACGTAGAATTGAATTGGATTGAATTTTTTACTAAATTTAAAGTAAATTTAAGCTCCAAAACATTATTCTGTTCAGAGTGAAAACATTAACGAACAATTGGAAAATGAAAGGAAATATTGTGGGTCGACCTATTTAGTGTGAGTTGAAAAAAGAGTTAAAAAAATATATATCATCAGCCTTCATTACCTAATTACTTAATAATGAATTGTTTTAAAAGTTTTATCATCTACTTGGTTTTGAAAAAGAAAAGAAGACTAAATGAGAGGTTGAAGCCTTGAAGGTGGAAAGATGGGTACTCAACTCATATAATTTTCTGAACAAATCAACTCGGTTGCTTAGCTTGAAAGCCAAAGAAATATCTTTTTGCATTGGACAGTCAATCATTTTCAGAATTTTTATAAATTTTTCCCCTTGTGTGTGTGGTGTGGGTTATTTCTAAGCAATTTTTCTTTGTGCACTTCTATTTACACAAGCCCACAAAAAAAATATCACATTGTGCTTCTTGTCTGGGCCTACACATGGGTGTACTGATTTAAACTTTGAGTGTATTTAGAAGCTCACTAAAACAAAACTTATACTCAAAGTTCTAATTTATGTTTTTTTTCCTTTCATCCACATCCGTTATGAAAGTAACTTTCTCAACAGGATAAAACCCAGTGGAAAAAAGCTATTGATTTACTAACTAGTGATTTCGTGTACAAATCTCTATGGCACTGTGTGTGTGAGAAGCCCCATTCCTCCTTGTAGTTTAGACTACCACTTGTGTTTTGAAAAAAAAAAGTATGAAAGTAAGTTTAGCTATGTGTCTGTATAACATGCATTTGGCAAAATCCCGTTTGAAAAACACCATTCACAATGGCAAAATCCAATGACTTTATGACTAGATTAAATTAGAGTCCTAACCCAAATTGCCAATATCAAAGCTTGTGATACTAAACAAAGGCAAATGTGGCATTTCTTGTTACCCGAAGAATGTTCTGAGCTCTTCTTTAAGAGGGTTGGTTATTAACTTGGGTTTAGGGATTGTTGTTCACCAAACATAAACCCAACTTTGGGAAAAGGAAGAGCATTAGGGTTGGTGCACCCTCTTGTTTGACCGTAGTCCCTTACTTGCTCTCCATCCATCCATACATAAAAATCCAACCAATGAGAATTGAGAAATTCCAAGAGTAAAACAAGTTTTGGACAAAACAAACAGACATTTGCAGGTTTGAAAAAAGGGTCAAGCCACTTTTGCAGTCCTCACAGAAAGAGTACTGCCCCTCTTTTTCAGTCCTTAAATGGGGACTGTTTCTTTGGCAAGCCAACCACCATTTTTTATCTCATCAACTCAATAAGGTCTCAAAAAATCTTTATATATGCACAAAATAATACCAAAAAATGGCTTCTTCTTTTTTGTTGGTAACAGTCAATATTCTTTTTGACATGATCAGAGGATATGATCGGCTGCTGCTGCTGCAAAGTCTGCAACCTGCAGCTCTTGTCTGTCACTGAGATATGGTTTTGGTTTTGCTCTGTAGGGCTCTCAGTCTCAGGCTCAGCTGCTCTCCTCTTCAGGAACCCTACATGTCATGTAACCGCCAAAACCACATAAAATTTGAAAAAATTCAAGTTCTTGCTCTCCAAGCAAAAACTAGTACACTTATGTAATTCAGGCTTCTCATGTCCACAACAGAAAAATTAATAATGAGAATCTTGAAAATATTTTCTGGAAAATCAAATATCCTTTTAATAATATTACATAGTAGGGGCATTGTAGGAGGATAACATACAAGGTTCAATTCAAATGTTAAAAGCACTTGGTTTTATCAGAAAAAGTGTGAGGCTGAGTTGTGGTGTGTCAATTTTTCTCTTGACCAAAAATAATGCTTACGTTACATGTATGTATCCCCTCTACGAAAGTTTTCACATTTATCATTAACATTAATAGTTGTCTCCATACATTGTAATTTTGTGTGCACATACAATGTTGCAAGAGTTTTGATGTTGGCTCGAGTCTCTATTACCCTTTCTTTTATACAAGAAAAAATTGAGAGAGGTGAATCGAGCATAAGACTTCGGATGCGCAAATAATCACTCATAAATCCTTGAATTATAAGATAATTGGACAACACGAGTATCTAAATATTATTAATATATATTTTGGACAAGGAAATGCTTAAAAAAATGAGTACTAATATTTACTTTACACCACATTTATTTACCACAACTTTAATAAAGGTGCCACTTATATTGATGTTGATAGGATAAATATGAGTCAAATCCGCGTTTTAAGAGAGGTACAAAGTAATTTTAGAGTAAAACCTGATATAAAACATTGTTGAATTGAAAGAAATGTAATTTGGCAAATTGGTGATAAATTTAGTTTTTGATGGAATTAAGTCATAACGTATCTGCCTAATCCCTCACTCTCTCCAGTTAATGATTATAAAAGACTCCATCGACGAAATCGCACCCCTTTAACCTCTCAACTCACGTCACACTTTTAGACAAGAGAGACAACACACCCCAGCAGAGAGTAACATTACATACAGAAGTTGAAGAAAGCAGAGAGACTCTGCGTCTGAGAGCGTGAGCTTCATTAGCCTTTTGCTTTCTCTCCAACAATGGCTGCAGGAGGTGGAGCACAAAAGGTGGATGAGTTCCAACCACACCCTATCAAGGACCAACTTCCCGGCGTCGACTTCTGTGTCACATCTTCTCCTCCATGGCGTACCTCTCTCTCTCTCTCTCTCTCTCTCTGTCTAATACACACACACAGAGCACTACCCTGTTTCCATTACATTACCTTACAAGGATTATAGGATAAAGTTTCCGTTTTTGTTTTTGGGTCAAAAATCAGTGTGAAAATATATGTATCATTTTGGTTATGGTACTTGTAAATATTCTCGGTTTCTGGGTAATGTCAGTTTTGTTTGGTTACCAAGAAAAAAAGGGAATGTAAGAAAAGAAAATGGTTTGCAAAGACTAGTCTCTGTGAGAATATTTGATAAAGTTGAAACCTTTGCTAACATGGTGCTTTTCTCTCATCTCTAAATAGTGAATACACAAATCCCATCAACTTTGTCGTCCCTTTGTGTTTTAGTGTTTTCTCCTGAGGCCTTAAATTTTGTGATTCTACCTCTTCCAAGTTTCACCCCTCTCTCTCTTTCTCGTTTTCCTGCATCTCCCGGCAAACATATCAGAGCATTCCATTTGGAAAATGTTCTGTTCCTTTTTTTAGACTCCCATGTATTTTATATTGTGTTGTCTGTTTTCTCTGTCCCCCTAAGTTTTCTTCTTTCCCCGCTAAAGATTATCTTTTGTGATACTATTAGCTAACATTTGTTTGGTTGGATGCAGCTCAAAACCCCGCTGTAACCATATATGTATCATGTTTACTATATATTACTTCTACATAATCTTAGCTTTTTGGGTAATGTTAGTTTTGTTTGGCTACCAAGAAAATGGTTTCCAAAGACAAATCTTTGTGAGAAAAGAAAACGAAAGGAAGTTTGGAATTGGATAAAGTTGAATCCTTTACTAATACAGTACTTTTTCTCATCTCTGAATAGTAAATACACAATAATCCAATGAACTTTCTCTTCGCTTTGTGTGTCAGTGTTTTCTCTTGAGTCTTTTACGTTTGATGATTCTACCTCCTTCAAGTATCACCCCTCTCTGCCTTTCTCTTTTTTTCTGCATTTTCCTGCAAACCAATCAGAGCATTAAAGTAATTCCATTTTGGCCTACGTTCTATTCCTTTGATTAGGCTCCCCTGTATGTTAACATTTGTTTTCTGTTTTCTCTCTCTAAAATTTTATTCTCTTCTTGTTATACTATTTACTAAAATTTGTTTGATTGGTTGCAGCTGAAGCCATACTTTTGGGATTTCAGCATTTCCTGGTAATGCTTGGGACCACTGTGATCATTCCAACCATACTTGTCCCTCTAATGGGTGGTGGTGATGTAAGACCTCTTTCAGAAGAAAAATCTTACCTTTTTGTTTCCCATTTCTGATTCATGCTTGCATGGTCTTTCCAACATTAATTGCTCTACCTTTTGTTAATAGGTGGAGAAGGCTGAGGTGATAGAAACTTTGCTCTTTGTTGCGGGTATTAACACACTCTTGCAGACTGTGCTTGGGACTAGGCTTCCTGTTGTGATGGGGGGTTCTTATGCCTTCATCATCCCTGCTGTCTCCATTGCTTTATCCAGGAGGTTCAGTGTATACATAGACCCCCACCAGGTTGGTCTGATCCAATTTGTCATTTTCCCTTCTCCTATTTTCAGCACTCTATTGGACTCTAGTGCAGAATTTATGGATGGTAAGGAAAGGGTTTACATGGAAATGATTACCATGTACTCTTTCTTTCTTTCATGTTTGATGACTTATAAAGGGAGCCTGATGGATTTGATGTCCTGTATTTTTTAGTTCATTTGTACTTATGGTCTTTCTTATGGGTTGTTAATGTTTTGTTAGAGGTTTAAACAATCCATGAGAGCAATACAAGGAGCAATCATAGTTGCATCTTTCTTCCAGATGATTCTTGGCTTTCTGGGGTTTGTGAGAATTTTTGGGAGGTAGGTTGTGGCACTAAAGCTATTAGAATCTGATGATGTGCTTATTACTTATTACTGCGTGTAAGAAAGAACTTGATTATTGATGTGGCTTGATGCAGGTTTCTTAGCCCTCTCTCTGCAGTTCCTCTTGTGACGCTTACTGGACTAGGGTTCTTTGTATTTGGTTTCCCTCAGGTAACCATGCTGAACCCTTCATTGCCTTATTGCTCATTGCAAATTATTGGTATATATGAAACTACTTCTATTTTCCCTCATGCACACCATGAGTTCTGATTCATTTTAAGTCAACAAATCTGATATGTTGGGGTAAAAATTAACATGGATTATATTCCAAGGGATTGTGCCTATGTGAAAGCCTGGTGGTAAGCCACCAAATTGACAGGACCCATATGAGGTACGAGTCAGTTAGTGTTCCTTGAACTTGCATAGGAATAAAGAAATGTTCTGAAACATTGTTATACATTTTGTAATAAATGAGCTCTGGTTGATTTTTATTTAGATATCACTGTAGGTGGTTGAGAATAGTTTTACAAAACTTTTAAACTTTTAATCTCAAAGACTCTTTTTAGTTTCTCTTTCAACTAAATGGAGGTATTACTTTGTTTGGATCATCACATCCTTCCTTCCTGCTTGATGGTGCAGCTCGCAAACTGTGTTGAAGTTGGACTACCAGCATTGATTATACTGGTTTTTCTATCGCAGGTAGGCAGAATCCTCAACTATCATTTTCTTGCAGTCATCTTCAATTTAATTATCAATTTATCAAGTTATATTGTTTTATAGAATGTAAATCCTGCGTATCTACTCTGATTAATTGTCTCTTCTAATATTTAACCATTGTTACTGCAGTACACGATGAAGTTAAAACTGCCTATATTTCACCGATTTGCAGTACTATTTTCTGTTGCAATTGTATGGGTATATGCAGAAATTTTGACTGCAGCTGGTGCATACGACAAAAGATCTCCTATAACTCAAAGAAGTTGCCGCACTGATCGTTCTGGGCTTGTTAGCTCTGCTCGTTGGTAAGCTTAAAGTTCTAACTTAAAGTCCTGTTTTGAGTAATCATAGAATCTTATTACTTTTTCTGTTTGGGAATAAAAGCGAAAACTGAAGTCTGATTATCATTGGTCATTTACTCAGGCTCCGTAAACAATTCCCCCCACTCCTATTTAGTTTCATGTTCCAGAAGTGTAGTCCTGCATTGTCAAAACTCTTGTATCATTGTAACACAGTTATATAAATATTTTTCTTAATTTAGAGAGATGAACAATAGTATGACATTGAATAATGTTTCTTCTTTTCACCATATGTAGGATAAGGGTTCCCTATCCATTTCAATGGGGGCGTCCTGATTTTAATGCTGGTGATGCTTTTTCAATGATGGCTGCAGCTTTTGTTGCCATTGTTGAGGTAAACACTTATGAAGTTCATTCTTGTTTTCTTTATTGAATTTCCTATTCTCATTTTGATACTTCAAGATTACAATTATGCAAACAGATGTTCATTTTACATAGTATATATACATAAAGTAGACCTATATACATAAAGTAGACCAGACATCCTTGTTAAGATGTCTTTAGGAAATTTTTGTTGGTATGCCTTCAGATATGGTTTCTTGACACTGTTACAAAGAATAAAATATAAATTAAATGTACTTGTGATTTGTAAGGATGCGTTGTGTAACTTTCTCATCGTATGTTAATGCTATCTTTTTATTTGAAATATGATTCTCTATGAAAGGTTTGTAAAATGAATACACAGTACCTTCATTTTCCCTGACATATCCTTTCTCCCTTTCATTTGGAGCAGTCAACCGGTACCTTTATTGCGGCATCAAGATATGGGAGTGCCACCCCTCTACCACCTTCTGTTCTCGGCAGAGGTATTGGCTGGCAGGTAGGAAGTGGTCCTATGAATTGTCATGTTAACCACAACTTTATAGTTAGATTGTAGACACTTTGTAATTGTTAGTTCTGCGACACTTATTTGGTCTTGTAAAAATTTCAGGGCATAAACACTTTTCTGGATGGCATATTTGGCACATTAACTGGCTCCACGGCATCAGTGTAAATATTTAACTTATGAAGTTATGACATCCTTTGTTGTAGAATTCTGGGATGAGGACAAATGCTTCTCTGGCTCAACTACACAGTGTGCATAATCAATTTGTAAAAGGTTTAACTGGCTTACAAGTGCATAGCCAATATTGCTAGAATGTCATATTACCTTTACCAATTTTTTATCACTGGGCATATAAAAAAGATGAACAAAGTGCAAAGATGTTGATTTATACAAATCTGGAGATTGCTTTACGCAATTGTTGGATAAGTTTGTCTGCATATAATCCTGTAGAACAGTACATTAATCACAGTTCTCGATCTATATTACAAGGGCCCATAGTTTTGTGCATTGAGTGCGTGGGTGCCCTAGTTGTAGGCTTTTAGCTCACTGCATTTTCTAGTGAAAATATATCTAAAGAAGAAATAATTGTTAACTGAGAGAGAAATATTTGCCATATTGTGTAAACATGTGATCTAATGATCTTACCCTGTTTTTCTAGTGAAAATGCAGGTCTTTTGGGATTAACGCATATTGGAAGTCGGAGAGTAATTCAAATATCGGCAGGCTTTATGCTCTTCTTCTCTGTATTAGGTTCGGTGTTCCGTTTAGCAATCTAAATCTTGAATATTCTGTATTTTGCTGGGCTAACTGTTTATCTAATTTGGATACTTAATTTCTCAATAAGAATATAAACTAAGTGAGTGCAAGCAGGAGCTTAGCATGTTATTGACTTTGCTTACATTATGTGGTCTAAGGTGTCATTAATTATGTCATTCACAGGAAAATTTGGGGCTGTTCTTGCTTCTATACCATTACCTATTGTGGCAGCTTTGTATTGCGTCCTCTACGCCTATGTTGGTGCGCATTTCATTCCTATATCATAACTATGTATATGTTTTATCGACTTTTTTTTTTTTTAGTTTATGTGAACATACTATGAATAATTCTCAGTTTATAGTCCATGCTTGGTCACATATAAACTATAAACTGAGAATGTTTATCTTAAATCTTGTTGGAAATGGATTTGCTTATAAGAGGATCTGTCAATCAGATCCTCTAAACTGAGAATATGTATTTGAAATTTTGATGATATGTACTGTTTGGTGTGCAGCTTCTGCTGGTCTTGGTTTGCTCCAGTTCTGCAACCTAAACAGCTATAGGTCAAAGTTCATTGTTGGCTTTGCTCTCTTCATGGGTCTTTCTGTGCCCCAATACTTTAACGAATACCTCGCAACTTCTGGTCATGGTCCTGTTCACACTGGTTCTACTTGGGTAAGTAGTTGAATTGCAATTTATCTTCAAAGATTCACTGTTGTCTTACAGAAAACTCTGTGCTAACACCTGAATGCTTACTCTTGCAGTTCAACAATATAGTGCAAGTAATTTTTTCATCCCCAGCAACAGTGGCAATTATAATTGCTTTCTTCTTGGACTTAACTGTCAGTCGCGGACACGGCTCAACTCGGAGAGATAGTGGCAGACACTGGTGGGGAAAGTTCAAGAATTTTGGCTCAGATACTAGGAGTGAAGAGTTCTACTCATTGCCATACAACCTTAATAGGCATTTCCCATCAGTTTGATGCTAAGCATCCTTTCACTCCATCCAATACTTTTCATTAATGAACAGCTCAAATAGAGGAAACTAAGGAAGAGCGCCTTGTGTTTTGTTGTCAAGTTGACAAAGGAGAAAAAAAAGGATATGTATAGGAGCAATTTGGAATGGGAAAACCATCTTGGTAATTGAATACACACTGAGCTTGTAATTATGTTCTTATAGCTGAAAACTTGGTATTACATTTGTAATGGAGCTTGGAAACCCTCTAATTACTGATTTTTCAGGAATTTGATATGTTGTGAAGAGAACAACTTTATATTGGAATTGTTGCTGGCATTCTGTCACAAACAAAAGACTAGTTCATTTTTGGGGTTTGGCTTTATTCTCTGTGGTATCAAAGGATCTGTCAATCTGATGTCTTTGCCTTGTTCTGGTGTAAATGTTTATCTTAAATCTTATTGGAAATGGATTTGCTTATATGGGGTTACCTTATCCTAATTCCTTAGGGTTTAAGATACACAATACAATATGAATATTGATTATAAATGGATAAGTGGATTAACATATAAACCCCTAGGGAATTAGGATAAGGTTGTCTAAATAAGCAGGCAGAGTGGATTCAGAATTGTATTTCTGCATTGGCATTATTGGAGCCACATCAAAAGTTGGGTTTGGGAATGGACTTAAAACAAAGAACTGTACCTTGGAATCAAAATAGAATCCAGGTAACCAATTGAGAACAAAATCCAAACCCAAAGCTAGCTGGCTGTAGTACTTTGGTATCTAAAAAGAACCAGCAAAAATTACATACCAGTAAATAAATGAATTTCAAATTCCACTTCAACCTAACCAAAAAATAATAATAGAAATTCAAATTTCCACATTGCCGGGGGTTAAGTGGGATCCAAAGTCACAAGGCCTCTGTTGTGTCACTTCCTTGTTTTTTGTGGTCTGCACTCTGCTCTATTGTTTTGCTGTCAAATGAAGCACAGTCAACTTGGACATCTTCCATATCATTCACAGTGCACATTGCTTACATTTTGTGTTGGAAGTTACAATGCTTATGAATGTGAGTAAATCTTTCTAATCTTCAAGTAAATGAAAAATTCAACTCAACTTTTTTATTATTATTATTTTTTTTTCATTCAACAATTGTCTCATTTATAATATTTGAATTAAAAATACCCTTGCATAAAGTGAAAAATCGGTGTTACTAAATCAGATGATCATGTATGTAACTAGCACTAGAACTAGGTTCGGGCCTTAACACAACTAGCATGGTATGAGATGAGTAAGAAGAGGGGTAAATCTTTCAAATTTTTCATATAAATAAAGAACTCATAATTTTTTAGGTCAATGGTAGTTTTTATTTTATTTTATCAAAAAACAACTTCATTATATGATCGTCAACAATACAAACTATGATATTATCATGACATCCAAAGAACCAAGCTCAAGAGAGCAACATGACTAACACGCTAAAAAGCAAAACTAAAGCAGATAAAAGCCGCACTAACAACTACTAACCCACATCATTACAATTAATCATAATCTCAATCAAACCGCACAAAAAAAGTGTGTCATAGGTCCTATTCAAGATTGACTACAAGAAGAATGATTTTTTATTATTATTTAACTTTTATAAAACAACCCACCTCTACCCCATCCTATCGTTTTGGCATTTTGATACCACAAGATATCCATATGCATATATGTGACCATTCGACCATCATTTTCAAGTTATATTAAGTTGATGCAGACTTGGGGGAACAAAAAACATATAAGCTGTCATTTTAAATAACGAAAGTAGACCAGAGGAAAAGTCATGTGCACTTCTGATATTTTTGAGCCATTGTTGAAGAATTAAATACTTAGCTTGCCCCAACTTTTGGTCTGTGTTTTTTTTCCCACAAAATTATGGATCATTTACCATCTATCTCCTCCACCTACCCCCCCTCCTCTCACCAATTGAGCTAAAACCCTAGAACACGTTTCACCTATATAAATATATATCGGAGTGACCGTGATGTTTTTAGTTTTAAAATTTTGCTTAAAACAGGCAATGCTACAGAGCTTGATCTATTTCTATACACATGAAATGTCTTATAATGTAAAGCTAGGGGTGAAGAGAAAGGTTAAGACTAAGATAAGTCATGGGTCCAATCTCATCCCAATGTACAAGAAAGAGATGTCTTATAATGTATGCCACATTTTATTTGATTAACGAGGAAAATCTTGGCAACTCGCTTTTTCATTGCACAAAATAAGTTTCGAATATGCATAATCATATGTAAAATACACGCACAGGAGTTTAAACCAAAATTGTTAACAACTCGTTATATGCTAGTTATTTTACTACTCAGCTACTCGCGGGGAGGTAATGCAGGTATGTCCTTTTTTTTTGGGGGTAAAATTAAATGTGTGCGACATAAAATTCAGAATGTAGTGGCCATCATGCCCAATCTGCTTTCAATGTGGAATCCATTGAGGCTTGAAAAATAAATAACTAAATAAATAAATTCTTCTGGTTGACATTTCTTAGCATGGTTTTTATCGACATGGTTTAGACCAGGTGTGGGCCTATTGGGCTACTCTCTGATTGACGAACATCACGGGTGGTGGTTTCCGACCAATGTTCAAACGGTGGTACGTTACGCTTCTAAGCCCTATTTCGCACGTAATAATTTAACTTTGTTCAAAGACACAATAAGGAACTAAAAAACAAAATTTCCTCCAGGAGGATGCCACCTATTGTATTGAACCTTGCAGCTGTCCTGTGGAAAGTTCTCTCCATCGAATGAAAAAATAATGAGAGAGAAATAAATCTATCTGTATGTCAAATCAAATCCATTTTAACATTTTTCTAAATTTTAATTTTGTTCATATTGAAATCTCAATTGAATATATCGATTATTATAATTTAGTTTAAAACTCAGTAGAATCATGATAAGTTGCTTAAAAATTAGTTGAATTCCTTCGATTTTAATGGGTTTTCACACCCTATAATCAGTATTTAGTTCGTGTCAGTTGGGTTTCGAAATTAGCACGCAATAATTTTGGATTGGATTGAATTGGTTATTTAATAGGTTTCGATTGAATTTTACGCACACTTATGGTCTACTTGTGAGTGCTCTTTATGAATTGTTTTCATCAATATCAGTTTTATTAGAAACAGGTTTTAACAAACTGAAATGGAGAATGCTAGCGGCCTTATCTTTGTTTTCACAATCTACTGAAGTGATTATCCTATACTAGAGGTAAACATGACTGAGACAAAATAAATAGAACATATGTTTTTCTCTACAATGTCGTATGGTAATTCGTGGTCATTCTTTCCAAAAAAAATTTTAATAAATTGGAAATTGTTTACCCATTTCATTAATACTGTGATGGGATGGTTTAGTTTATAATCATACCGCAATGCAAGATGAGACAGAAGATACCGCAATGAAATAGAAGATACCTAACATTTTCATTCAAGACGCGTAGCAGCAAGAATTCAGTCTCTACTACGTCTTGTCCTCCCTTCACACACCATCTCTGATACTGATACAGATACAGCATCCTCTCTCTGTCTATCTCTGTCTCTCTCTATCTCTCTTCAGCCAACCAACACACACAACCAAACAAACAAACAGACAAACAGAAGAAAACACACAAAAGTGCAACAAAATAAAGGAAAGAAAATAGCCAACACACACCACCACCACACAACAGTCTCACTCTGAGAGACAGCAAGCGAAACCTGCAAAAACACAATGCCTCCTTATGCAACCCAGCCATGACTAAACCCACCTCTCCTCTCACCCAATGTCTTCCTCTTCCTCTTCCTCCTCCTCCTCCTCCTCCTCCTACGACACCTCCAACTTTGTCGTCTCATCCCATCACTCCCCACCGTCCGATGAAACCGACGACACCGCCACCATCCTTACCCATCTGATCGACTCTGAGCTCAATCATATGCCCTCCCCAAACTACATGTCTCGCCTCCCAAATCAAATCCATTTTAACATTTTTCTAAATTTTAATTTTGTTCATATTGAAATCTCAATTGAATATATCGATTATTATAATTTAGTTTAAAACTCAGTAGAATCATGATAAGTTGCTTAAAAATTAGTTGAATTCCTTCGATTTTAATGGGTTTTCACACCCTATAATCAGTATTTAGTTCGTGTCAGTTGGGTTTCGAAATTAGCACGCAATAATTTTGGATTGGATTGAATTGGTTATTTAATAGGTTTCGATTGAATTTTACGCACACTTATGGTCTACTTGTGAGTGCTCTTTATGAATTGTTTTCATCAATATCAGTTTTATTAGAAACAGGTTTTAACAAACTGAAATGGAGAATGCTAGCGGCCTTATCTTTGTTTTCACAATCTACTGAAGTGATTATCCTATACTAGAGGTAAACATGACTGAGACAAAATAAATAGAACATATGTTTTTCTCTACAATGTCGTATGGTAATTCGTGGTCATTCTTTCCAAAAAAAATTTTAATAAATTGGAAATTGTTTACCCATTTCATTAATACTGTGATGGGATGGTTTAGTTTATAATCATACCGCAATGCAAGATGAGACAGAAGATACCGCAATGAAATAGAAGATACCTAACATTTTCATTCAAGACGCGTAGCAGCAAGAATTCAGTCTCTACTACGTCTTGTCCTCCCTTCACACACCATCTCTGATACTGATACAGATACAGCATCCTCTCTCTGTCTATCTCTGTCTCTCTCTATCTCTCTTCAGCCAACCAACACACACAACCAAACAAACAAACAGACAAACAGAAGAAAACACACAAAAGTGCAACAAAATAAAGGAAAGAAAATAGCCAACACACACCACCACCACACAACAGTCTCACTCTGAGAGACAGCAAGCGAAACCTGCAAAAACACAATGCCTCCTTATGCAACCCAGCCATGACTAAACCCACCTCTCCTCTCACCCAATGTCTTCCTCTTCCTCTTCCTCCTCCTCCTCCTCCTCCTCCTACGACACCTCCAACTTTGTCGTCTCATCCCATCACTCCCCACCGTCCGATGAAACCGACGACACCGCCACCATCCTCACCCGTCTGATCGATTCCGAGCTCAATCACATGCCCTCCCCAAACTACATCTCCCGCCTCCGCGACCGTTCGATCGACGTCACCGCTCGCCAGGACTCAATCAACTGGATCTTAAAAGTCCACGCCCACTACCGCTTCTCTCCCCTCACCGCCTTCCTCTCCATCAACTACTTCGACCGCTTCCTCTCCTCCCATTCTCTCCCGGTAAATC